CAGAATAGAAGCAACAGGGCAACACCACCACAGCGGTTGTGCCACAAGAGTGTAGGTCTCAACACAGCAAGAAACAGACCGAGGCACACAAAACAATAGCCATCACTGGAGGGAGGTGGCTATAGCAGGAGGAGTGAGGAGTTCCTATACCCCTGGAAGATGGCACATTTATAAAAATGGCTGTACTGCTAAAAGGGTAGGAGAAACCATGAATGGAGAAAGAAGAGAGATTTAGAGATCCAGAAAAGGAGAAAGAGGACAATTGGAATTCTGACGTTTATACCATTACAGTATTAATTTCTAGGTGCCCTCTTGTGGAGAGAATTGGGGTGTGTCTAGATGGCTGGATTTGGCTGAATGGGGTTTCTTTGAGTGCAATACACCATTTGCAGTGATGCCTGCATCTGCATGCAGGGATTGGGCAGTGCAGGTAAACAACACTGTGCCTCAACTCACTCTGTTTAGCCTTTTTTCCCTTTAAAGGAATAGAAAAAATAAATATAAAAAACCCTGCTCCACGTCCTCTCCTTTCTCCCCCTTGTGGGAGAGTGACAAAAAGTGCCCTTTATTTATTTTTTTGCAGCACTGAATTTGCTCAACCCTCAACTAATTCAGTAGTGGATTATAAGGGATACTCTTCTGTATCCTCCTTTGCAAAGGGGTGGGGGATGGCAGAAAGCTTTAAATGTATTAATAAGTGGCACTCTTTTCGTCTGCACAATGGTTAGATTCAGCAGCAAAGTGATAGATAAGCAACCTGTTTTGATTTGATACAGGTGATCATGCAAGCTGGAAATGAACCAAAATGGAGTGTTCCAATTTGCAATTAAAAAATTGTAGCCACTGCCGTGTACTCAAAAAGGTATGGCTCCTCCTGCCTTCCATGGCAGATCCTTGTCAGGGCAATTATTACAGTATCTGATAATTTTGTTGCAAACGAACATTCAAACCAGACAACACACATGATCTAGCAACTTTTCAGACTTTCTTCCTTTCTCTACACCTTGGATTGCAAGGCCAGAGCACAGAGATACGTGCTATGTGAATGAAGGCTCTTCTTGAGGTTTTGAATCCCAAGATTCTTGATCATAGAAATAAAACAGGCACTTACAGCACCTTCATCTTTTTGAGAATTTCTCAGCATCACCATGACTAGTTGGTAGGGCTGGGTTTGTTATGGGACAAACTGGTGGGAACAGGCTCAGCTACAATCACTACACTTGGCAAATAACCACACAATAAGCACACTGGCAAAAAAGACAAATGTGGCTTCACAAAAAGCTCAGGGAGGTCTTAAAAACCAAAGAAGACATGTACAGGAAATGGAAAGGCCAGGCCACCAAGGAGGAGTATAGACAAGTAGCAAAGAAATGCAGGGATGGCATTGGGAGGGCAAAAGCTGAGAATGAGCTGAGGTTAGCTAGAGACACTAAAAGCAATAAAAAAAGCATTCTTCAGGTATGTGAGTAGAAAAAGATAAACAAAAGACATAGTGGCACAGCTCCGCAATGGAGATGGAAAAGTGATAACAGAGGACAAAGAAAAGTCAGAGGTGCTCAATTCCTATTTTAGTTCAGTCTTTTCCCATGAGACAGTCTATGAACTCCCAAACAAATTGGAAGTGCAAGTGGGGAGGGACAGGATTGTAGCTGGAGATTGATTTAAGAAATAGTCAAGGAATGCCTTACCACCTTGAACGAGTTCAAATCTCCAGGGCCAGATGAAGTGCAACCGAGAGTACTGAAGGAATTGGCTGAAGAACTCTCGGAACTGCTATCCATTATTTTCTTGAAATCATGGGAAATGGGGGAAGTGCCAGAGGATTGGAGGAGGGCTAACGTTGTCCCTATCTTCAAAAAGGGCAAAAAAGAGGAACCTGGGAACTACAGGCCAGTCAGCCTGACATTAATCCCAGGCAAAATTCTGGAACAGATCATAAAGTGGTCATTGTGCAAGCATCTAGAAAACAATGCAGTAATAACTAGAATC